TTGCACTTCCCTTTTGCACACATTCAGTAAATTTTTGTTGAATAGTTTTGAGTGTTAATAAGTGTTTATGAGGCTGTAATAAAGAGACACATACACACAAGAAGACACAAACCCACACATAAATATGCATCCGTGGAGAGACACACATGTGCATACCAAAAGGACTGAATGTGGAGTATGAGGAATCACTAAGGATCACAATACCAGCAGAGTTGGAGAAGCTCCTGAAAGGCAGAGCTAGACAAATAGAAAGAGTCTTGGATGTCCAAAGGCAGAAGTATCTCAGTGCTAATTTCCAGATCATTCAGGGACATGGAATCCCAGTGAATGGGGAGGAACTGCAGACAGGGCTGCCATGCAAGACTGCAGTTTGTGCCTTACAAAAAGATGCCAGCTGGGGGCTGGGGGGCAGAGTGGGGGGTGATATCCAATCTGTACTCCATTCACCATGCTGTATACTCAAAACGCTGTGTCCACCCAAAAGACACACCTTTTCCCACTTATCTGCCAATGAAGAGTGCCTTTTTCTAACCTCACAAAGGCTAATGATGGCAATAAAGATCCCAAGAGACCTGAGTGATTTCAGGCAGAAGACAGAGCCGAGGAACAGGGTCTATTCTTGTGGTTAAGCAATGATCAAAAGGGCTAACATTCAGGTTAGAGAGCCCCAGAAGTTCATTCATGTACTCAGATAATTATTAAGTACTTACATATGTCAGGCACTATGCTGAAAAATATGAGCACAGTCCCCACTCTCATGTAACTCCCAGACCTCTAGAAGAGACAGATATCAAACAAGTAAACTAATATATAATGTCAGATAGTGATAAGTGCTATAATAGACTTTTAAGAATTACAAGATTGAGAGTGACTGGGGAAGACAAAGGGCAAGTTTTGAGTGGATATTTGAGCTTAGAACTGGATGATAAGAAACAGATGGCCATGAAATCTTGAGTATTAGCCCTTTAGGAGGAACAAGTTGGTGTCAGAGTTTGGGGACAATAAGGACACCCAGAGATTTACTATCCCAAGTGGGGCATGGTTGAGAGTGAAAGAGGCAATGTTGATAATTATGCCAGGACAACAGGTATAAACTGGGTCTGAACTGGGAAAATCAGAGTGAAAGAGCACCTTACCCTAGGGGGCACAGGGACTGGGTTTATTTGGCCAGAGAATCTGGAGCCCAGCGTTTAGACTGAGCCACTTGATCCTGGGTTGTGAAAGTGATTTAATTCACCCATTCATAGGAAAAAGGAAATTGCTATGAGCAATTCTGTAGTTCTGTTAGAGCTGCAGCTGATCTCAGCCAACAGAAATATTGGAGCGGTGGTGGATTCCACTGCCAGGAATAAAGGGGATATGAATGGACTGCCTACTACATGTGAGGCAAGTGTTTTCTCGCTTAATCTTCACAACAAAAACTCCTTATCATGGGTACAAATTTATGTCCCAATTTACTTATGATACAATTGACTCAAAGAAGTTAAATAATTTCCCCAAGGTCATGTAGCTAAGGAATGACAGAGGTGGGATTCAAACTCAGACCTACTGGGTCTGAGCAAATTGTGCTTGCTTCTATACCGTATTGTCCTTAGACAGAGGCAGGGGAAAGAAAGCAGGGACTGAAACAGGTACAGACACATTCCAATATGTGTGGAGAAGCATACTCACATATTGACACAAAACCACAGAGAGAATCAGAGACACCTGGAGGCTTTGCTACATTGATATAGTTCTGTGGCCAAGACAGCTAGATATCCCTCAATATCTGTTCTCCCCTTCTTTCATAGAATATGCTAGTTTTAGCTCAGCATAGTGACACCCAAATTAAAGATTACATTTCCCAGCTTCCGTCACATCTAAGTGTGACCAAATAACTATGTTCTACCCAAGAGGGTGTAAGTCAAAGTGGTACCACTACCTTTGCACAACCACAGGAGGCACCATTCACAATATGAAGATGCTGTGAGTAGAAATGATGTTGCAACCTCAAATGGAAGAGGCATGTTCTTCCTGTGCCCCTTTTTGCTCCTACGAGATTGAATGTACCAACGAACAATGGCAATAGAACTCTGATCCACAACCTCTTTAGCAACCCGCTTGGGAAGCCAGACCACAATCCCTGCAGCAACCGGCCCAGAATGAGAAAGACTTGTTCAATAACTGCCAGCTCCTCCATTTTTTGTCCTTGCTTCCAACTCAGGACCAGACAGAGAGTCACATAAACCTCTGAATCAATCACATAAGATGCCCGTTTTTGTTTTGTTTGTTTTGATTGTTTGTTTGGTTTGATTTTTGTTTTTGTTTTAGATATCCAGGCTACAGTGCAGTCGTGTAATCACAGTTCACTGCAGCCTCGACCTCCTTGGGCTCAGATGATCATCCTGCCTCAGCCTCCCAAGTAGCCGGGATTACAGGACATGGCACAATCCTAGCTATTTTTTTTTTTTCATAGAGACAGGTTTTCACCATGTTGCCCAGGCTGGTCTCGCACTCCTAGGCTCAAGGGATCTGCCAGCCTCAGCCTCCCAAAGTGCCGAGATTACAGATGTGACCCGCTACACCAGCAAAATGACCCACTTCTAATGAGCTCACTTCCAGCTTTCCTATGCTAACTACCTACAATCAGGCACCCCTGAAACCTTCCCTCTTTTCCGATATGAACCTTTCCCACTGTTCTGCCAGCCTGTGAGTTTCTGCCAAATGCAAGACTCCTTGCTAGAGCAAGCTCTGAATCGATGACCTCTGCTTGCTCTCTTTTGGATAGTCTTCATTTATTTCTACACCCTCTTCCTGCTGGGTGGAATGCAGATATAGTAGGATGCATGGGTCTCCAGTCTCTGGTGTCATGGAACTGCCATCCACTCTGGGCTGTTAGTAAGAGAGAAATACATTTCAGCCTTTTAAGACACCGCCATTTTGTGTCTCTGTTTCAGCAACCTAACCAAACACACACACACGCACACACACACACACACCCTGAGGAGCCTTTCTAGTTCAGATTGAACATTCAAACTTCATCTATTTAAAGCATACTAATTTGGAACTTGCACAAGTTTGCCCTGGGGCAGCCTGGGTAAAAGGGTCCATTTGCACTGGATTAAAAAATCAGAGTTTGCTGAGCAGATTCATGTACTCCAGATTTTACTCATTTAAACTAGGATTTTTAAGCATCTTTCATTTGCATACAATGATTGAGATGATAATTACGAGAGACTCATACCTATTCATTAATACTTGAAATTTACTTAGTCCGGGCAGTCTGAGAGTGCTTGTCATGCAAAGGAATAAAGCTGCATTTATGCGCACAAAATTCAAAATTTTCATCAATTCTGACTGATCTCTTCAGAATAAACAAGCAAATTGCATTGACTCCTTCTTAGGCGATTCCTTTGTGTCTCAATGCACTTCCGTCTCCCATTGGATATGGCTTTGGCCCCTATAAGGCCCAGAGTTACAGAACACCAAATGCTTTTGGATGGGAAGTGTATAAGGGCAATTAATTAATGCCCATATATAATCTGCCCTTTTTCTGATCACCAGAGGCTCAGGGCCCCAACTTCCAAGCAGGAATGGCTTGCACCCTGTCACTTCTCCAGATCCACAGGGGAAGCACAGAGGCAGACCTGCAGAATTGATTTCTTGATGCCATGGATCCAGTCATCTGATTCCCTGTAAGACGCTTGGGTAAGGAAGATGGACCAAGATGCAGAATTGTTGTATTACACTTTAGTGTCTTCCACCCTTATAAGTCAAAACTGATCTTCAAGGAGCTTCTACTGTGCCTGACAGAGTACACAAAGTTCACGCGGTCCCCAGATGTTCAGCAATCCTTCCTTGCTTCCTATGGATACATGGAGCTATCTGGGAAGCATCCCCCAGAAATGCAGTTCCTTGGGACACCCTTATCCACAACCCCAGACCTCCAACATCCATCCACCCTCTCACACATTCAACCATCAGACATCTGCTATGTTCCTACTACATCTTAACAAGATATAGTCTTGACTATTGAGGAGTTCATCGTCTATGGTGGAGGCAGACATTTACACATTTACACAAATAATTATAATCTAGTATGATAAAAGCTGCCATTGAGTCATGTACAAGCTCCCCAGTGAACAGAAGAGTGAGCAGATAGCTTAGCTGGAGAAGGCTTCAGAAATATCAAGCAAACGACACTTGAGTGAAGGGAGCATGGGTTTCCATTAGCTGGAGATGTGTCAGGGAAGAAAGTATTCCAGGTGAAGGAAATGGCGTGGGAATAGGTAATGGAGACTTGAAAAATGCAACAAAAGGCACATCGTTCTGCAAGCTTGGAGCAGAGGATGAAGGAGAAACTGTAAGTTGGGGTCGTCTTGGGTGCCATGCTGGAGGATTTGGGCTTTACTGGAGGTTATAAGACACATTCAAGCCAGGGCTGGGAACTCAAATGCCTACAGGAGCCTGGCAAATGACAAACCAGCAAGGGAGGGTGCCTACATGGGAGTTGTAAAACTGGGGAGTGCAGGTTCCATCCAAAGGCAGTGGCCAATTGTTGCCATGATGCGAGGTGGGCTTAGTGTAGTCAAGTTTCTGTCTCTCTTTTTTTTAATAGGAAGCTGGAAATCCATAATTTTTACATACGAATGCTCCCAGTTTCTAACTGTTGACAGTTATTTCAAAATATCATCCTGGCCAAGCAAAAGGATATCTGATGTCCCATCAACCTTTGGACCTTCAGTGTGGCACTTCTGATCTAAAATTTCTAAGCAGAGAATGAACACAGACTTGTGTTTCAGATAGAGGGTGTCCCCATAGGTCTCACATGATCTTTCTGCCTCAGCTTCTGCCACCAAGAACTTCCTTCCTCATCTCCACCACCTTGCCTCTGCCCCATGTAGTCCTTGCCCTCCTCCCTGACCCCCAGACCACCCCCAGCACCAGCTACCTTCTAGCACTGGGAGAAGTTGAATTAACGAACTGTGCTGCAGACCCAGCTTACAGAGAAAAACCCAGCATTAAGGACACGAGAGAGCCATATTTATTTCACATGGACAAGCATGATTCCATTGCATGCTGAACATGAAAGCTCGAATGAGCAGAGTACCCGTAACAGCAGAATTATGTGCTTTTGTCCACAGGGAGCAGGGAGAATCACAAAGTGGTTTTCAGAGATGGTGTTTTTCAAGCACAGTTGAGACCACAGGCTCTGAAGTCACTGGTTTATTTCATCACCAAAGGGTCTGTCTCCCAGGAGCGGCCGGAGGTGCTTTCAGCTTTGCAATCTCTCAATGAATTGCTAAGGTCTGAGGAAGGCTAAGGATGGTCTCCCATCCCACCACCCAGAGCATCTTGAAGAAACGAAGCTCAGAGGGACGATACATGCCACTTGGATTTAACAAGGCCACTCCTGCGTGGACAATGACAGAGACTGACCGCTGTGCCCATAGCAACAGAACCATCATCGCTTATAGTATCTATCATCACTGGAACATTCACTCTTCTTAAAGCAATTCCCCAAGGCCCCTTATGGGCAGAAAGGAGAATGATTCTGGAATTTACTGGACATGCCAGGAGCAGATCAACTTTGCTTGAACAGACTGATGAGAGATAGTGGCAGGGACTTTCTGTTCTCTCGGCTTTAGCTGGGCTTCCTGGTTTCAAGATGATGTAGCTCAAGGTGGGAAAGGGGGCTGGAGCTGAGGTGTGTTGGAGGGAGAAGATCAGAGGGTCTGGGAGCAAATCTCATGGAAGAGATAAGCAGAAGAGCCCTTGCGAGCCCTTTCCTCTCGTGGGCTTATTCCCATCTGAAGTCCTGCCCAACAGTTTCATAAAATTTGATATTGTAAGGTCTATAAAATTCCCGGAGCTGGTCGATCACTTCAGGATCAATCTGTACATGAGTTCTCCCTTTTGATTTGCCCAGGCATCGAGGCAGGAGGCTCGATTCTGTTTTTTTCAAGCAAGGGAATCCTTTGGTCTTGTTGAAATAGAAGTGCTTGTCCGTGATGAATCTCTTAATGCCCAGGAAGTCCTGGACTCGCCCCATCTCGCCGGCCGGGTCAGTGATGAGTCGCTCGCCACTGACGAAGTGAATCTGAGCTAGCGGGAAGTACTGCAGCCAGCTCTCCAGGTGCAGCACGTACATGCCGATGCGGATGGCGTTCCACGACACGTCCACCAGGCCCAGGGTGCGGTTGCGGAAGGAGAGGCCCTCAAAGGTCGGGATGTCGGGCTTCTTGGAGAGTGTCTGGGTGTAATCAGAGATGGCGCGGGTCACAGGGTTCCGCACGACCACAATCAGCTTGGTGTCTCGGGACATGTTGAAGATGCGTCGAGGAGCCTCTTGAGTGACGAAGTAGCTGGGCGTCTTCTCGAGCGTGATCTGGCTCTCCAGGGTCCTGGGCATCAGGCTCCTGTGTGGGCAGAAGGAACACATCATCAAATAGGTTTGCGTGGGGCCAGGCCTCAGGCCCAGCTACATCAGCCTTTCCACCCAGGGACCTGTTGCATCCCCCTACTCGCCTCTGTTCCATTCAAAGCTCTCACCTGGTGAGGGACTCACTTTACATCTTGTTGCTTTTCTTTTCTTTTCTTTTCTTTTTTTTCTTTTGTTTTGAGACAGGGTCTCACTCTGTTGCCCAGGCTGGAGTGCAGTGGTACAGTCACAGCTCACTGCAGCCTCCAACTCCTGGGATCAGGCTATCTTCCCATCTCAGCCTGCCAAGTAGCTGGTACTACAGGTGTGTGCCACCATGCCTGGCTAAGTTTTTCTATTTTTTTGTAGAGCAGGGTCTCACTATGTTGCCAGGCTAGTCTCGAACACCTGGGCTTAAGCAATCCTCCCACCTCAACCTCCCAAAGTGCTGGGATCACAGGCTTTTTTTCTTATTTAATGTTTAACCTGTTTGCTTCAAGACTGGAAACAATCTAAACATCCATCATTGTGAGCTAAATAAATTGTGGAATAGCCAATTAATAGGGTTAGGTAGATCTGTATGCATTAATATGAAATGAGTTCCAACATACAGTGTTAAATGAAAATAGGCAAGATACAGCTTGTACATCTTAGGAAGGATACATAAGGAACCAATAAGAGCAGTTGCTTCTAGGGAGAAAACTCAAGGTGAGTGCAGAATCAGAAGATGAGGGATAAATGAGAATTACTTTTCTTTCTTTTTTTTTTTTTCAAGGGACAAGGTCTCACTCTATCTCCCAAGGTGCAATGCAGAGTTCCAATCATGGCTCACTGAAGCCTCGAACTCCGGGGCTCCACTGATCCTCTCACTTCAAGAAGCCGGGACTACAGGCTCATGCTACCACTCCTGGCTGATTTTTAACAATTTTTTGTAGAGATGGGGTCTCACTGTGTTGCCCAGGCTGGTCTTGAACTCCTGGGCTCAAGTGATTCTCCTTCCTCAGCCTTCTGAGCAGTTGAGATTACAGGTGTAAACCACCATGCCTGGCTTATTTTATTTTATTTTTTTTGTAGAGATAGGGTCTCACTATGTTGCCCTGGCTGGTCTCAAACTCCAAGCTTCAAGTGATCCTCCTGCCTTGGTTTCTCAAAGTGTTGGGACCATAGGCACAAGCCACTGCACCTGGATAAGAATTACTTTTTATTTTATAACCTTTAAAACTGCTTGAAAATTTTAATGCATTTATTACATATTCAAAAATTACAAAGTAAGCCACTGAATATTGTTCTGGCAAAAGATATTTCTCCAAATATATTAAGAAAATCTTTTTTTGGGGAAAAAGTCTTGTCTTGCAGGAATAGCAACTGTTTTAGATATGAGTTCTGACGTCTTCTTCTGCTGAAAAACGGTTGAAACACATCCTTTGTGTAGGCTTGAACAAGCCAAGAACTCCAGGCTGGTTGGGATCTCAGTCAGGAGCCAGGCTATGCAACCTCTCTTTCCCTTGTTTTTTAATTTCCTGGCTGTGCTTGAGACCTTAAGGGATTTGGGAAGAAGCACTGAAGTCTCTTTCCCGGGAGCATCTCATTCAGACCTTGATGGAGGGGAGCATCCCTGGTTCCCAACCGCTACTTCTTGATGAAGGTCACTGTTGACCCTTACGTGCATTTCTCTTAATTCTAGCTGCACCTTAGAACTACCCGAGAAGTTCTTTTCCTTTCTTTCCTTTCCTTCCTTTTTCCTTCCTTTTCTTTCCTTCCTTCATTCCTTCCTCTCTCTCTCTCTTTCTCTCTCTCTCTTTCTTTCTCTCTTTCTCTTCCTTCCTTCCTTCCTTCCCTCCCTCCCTCCCTCCTTTTTCTTTCTTTCTTTCTTTCCTTCCTTCCTTCCTTCCTTCCTTCCTTCCTTCCTTCCTTCCTTCCTTCCTTCCTTCCTTCCTTCCTTCCTTCCTCTCTCTTTCAAACATGTCTGGGCTCTGTCCTAGAACAACTGATTCTAAATATTGAGGGAGGAGATATGCTTATATAAAGTTCCTCAGATCATTCTAATGGGAAGGCAGAGCTGAGAAACACCTTTCCCAAGCCTAACGTGGTAGGAGGCTGGTCTAGACTCCAGAGGCAGGGCTTGGATACAGGACCAAATTGAGGACTAGCTAAAACAGGGCGGGGCGGAAGCAGCTTTCCACAAGACACGCCCACCAGTGTGCCCTGTCAGCTTACCACTGCCACGGCAACGCCTGGAAGTGATCATCCCTTTCTATGGCAACAACCTGATGACCTGGAAGTTACCACCCTTTTCCTAGGGTGGTAAATTTCTGCCTAATCTGCCCCTTAATTTGCATGTAATTAAAAGTGAGTATAAATATGACTGCAGAACTGCCTCTGAGCTGCTACTCTGGATACTCTGCCTATATACTACCCCTGTAGGGTAGCCCTTCTCTGCAAGGAACAGTGCCTCTGCTTCTGCTGTACACTGCTGCCTCAATAAAAGTTGCTTGTCTAACAACACTGGCTTGCCCTTGAATTCTTTCTGGGCAAAGCCAAGAACTCCCCGAGGCTCGCCTGCCCTGTATCACTAACACTATGATTTACCAACCCCCAGAACATTCATTCTCGCATCCTTTGGAATATCACCTCCTAGTTCTTAGCTTTCTGCTTCCCGGCTCCTATCACTCTCTCCACCCAATACCCTGGCCTCACAGTTCTTTGACCTTTGCTACTCCAAGTATTTCCATTTTCTCTTCCCTTCACCAACTCTTTTTCATGGCCATACCTTGGGTCATGTCATTGAAATTTGCCTAACTCTGAAGTGGTTAATTCAGAAATTTCACTCTAAGACCATGTAGAGGTTTGAATGGTGACCCTCCAAAAGATATGTCCACCCAGAACCTTTGTTCTGTTTTGGGTTTTGTGTGTGTGTGTGTGTGTGACAGAGTCTCACGCTGTCACCCAGGCTGGAGTACAGTGGCGCCATCAGGGCTCACTGCAGCCTCAATCTCCCCTGGCTTAGGTGATCCTCCCACCTGACAACTCCCGGGTAGCTGGGACTACAGGCACTCACCACCACTCTTGGCTAATTTTTGTATTTTTTGTAGAGACAGGGTTTCACCATGTTGCCTAGGCTGGTCTTGAACTCCTAGGCTCAAGAGATCTGCCTGCCTTGGCTTCCCAAAGTGCTGGGATTATGGGTGTGAGTCACCATGCCCAGCCCACCCAGAACCTTTGAATGTGACCTTATTTGGCAAAAGGGTCTTTGTAGATGTAATTAAGGACTTGCAGATGAGATCATCCTGGATTAGAGTGGGCCATAAGCCCAGTGACGAGTGTCCTTGTAAGAGAAGGGAGGAAGAGTCACACATTAAATACGGTGACCTGAAGACGAAGGCAGAGTGTGAAGTCAGATATCTACAAGCCATGAACACCTAGGACTGCCATGAGCAGCCACTGGAAGCTAGGAGAGAGGCACAGGGCAGATTCTTCTCAGAGCAGTCAGAAGGAACCAACCCTGCGAACAATTTGGTCTCAGACTTCTATCCTCTAGAACTGTGAAATAATGCATTTCTGTTGTTTTAAGCCACCCAGTTTGCAGTAATTTGTTATGGCAGCCACAGGAAACTACAGATTACAACCTCGTCCCTTTCTACCTTTTCCAGTCTCAAACTTCTTATACCCATTTTCAAATTCATCTGGGATTCTCTTGATTTCACTTTATTCCATACCTTCCCTGGACCCAATGAACAATCATTTCAATAGCATCATCTTCATCCTCATCCATTTTCCCATTCAATTGCTCTCCCCAGTCTCTAATAATGCATCCTTCCAGCCTTTTCTCCTTTCCAGGTCTGTCCCTGGGTTGCCAAACAGCAGTGGAGAAAATTGCTGGCACTTACAAGTAGATCCTTACTATGTTCATGGATTCTAGCTTCCATTGAATCTTCAATACTGCTCAGTGATCTTGTATTTGTCTTATCAGGCCCTTTCCCATCATTTTTCATAGTAAGTGTTTCCAATTCTCATCATACACTCCCAGCCTGAATCCTGTCATCCATCCTTAACATGCAGCTAGTCTCCCGACACTAGAAAGCCATAAGCTTTCAACCTAACACCTCAACTCCTTCAACCTGCCTCTCCTCCAGCTTAAAGCTGATCCTTATGTGCAACCATCCTGAGTCCCTCCTGCTAGTCTCAGAGAACAAGGTACACGAGGGCTCACCCATCCACCTGTGCTTAGATCCCTTCCCCTTCTGCCTTTCCTGCAAACGCACCCATTAGTGCCTTGAACCTTCTAATTCATTGCTAGGCTGATACAACTGATCTCTTGCTTCCAGGCCCAAAGTCTATGTGGACCCTTTTTGGTTGATTGAAATAGTACTTATTAGTATTAAGTAGGACAATTTAAAAAAATCATATTTATTAGTATTGAGTAGAACAATTAAAAACAATTTTTTAAAACTTGAGTAGAACTAATTTTAATAAAGTAGTATTGAGTAGATAGTTTGCATTATGTGCAAACAATCACAAGGGCACTTGAATAGAATTCTTTGGCTGGATTTTCTTAGAAATCAGGACATATTATATCGTGACTGTGGCATATATGGTAATTAGGTGTTGGCCTGTATGACAGGAATAGATGAAATTACATAAGGATAACAGTGCATTTAAACTGTGTTTAAAGACTTCCCAAACTCTACAGGGGCTATTGAAATAAAGGTCTTTCCCAGCACAAGGAAATTGACTTGACTTGCCACTAAACAGATTCCTTTGCAATATCCTTCAATACGCTAAAGAATATCCAAGAAAGGAATTGAGGACAGATTTTCTAAGCTTACTTGACTATAGAGCTGTGAAGCACCAATTAACATCTCTTTTTGTTACCAGTTTGGAAAATGCTGACCAAATCCAGTGATCTCCAAAGTACCACATTATTCCCCCATCTGTGCACTAAAGTGAAGCTCCACCCTTCTAATTTCTTTTTTTCTTTAATTTCCTTTTTTTTTTTTT